CTGAAAAATTACGGCACGACTTATATACGAGGTATTCGCGTATAGGGCACAAACCAGTCTCATATATCCAACACATAACTCTGCTCTCGGGGTATCTCGCTATCTTGAGAAAACTAAGGTGTATATTGACTCAGATCTCCAAGGAAACATGTTGTGTAGCATTTACGCGGCTTTGAAATCATGCATCGGTGCCTGAGAACTTTTCTTGTTCTCGAATTGTCATATTTTGTAGATTTTGTTTGGTGCGAAGACTGAATCGAAAAAAACGACAAATATCATCCATGCATTTTTTCAACCTCTGTGATCTGTTTTAATTATTCACACAGTTTTTTTTCCGAACACGAATCCGAAAAATGGGGCTGCAGGACAGACATCGGGAATGGTGTGTGCGAGGGTTCGAAAGAAGGATTCGAAGATCTGCTATCGACGTGACTAAGGCGCGATGATTTTCATCAGCAGCCAAATCAGAGACGGGAAAAATCCCGGAGATCCAATCAATTACTGCAGATTCTCATTACCAGTTCACACGCTTCCCCGCGGACCGCTGACCGTTAATTCGGTCGGCGCTAGATTGCTGCCAGTTGTTCGGTGCTGGATTATTCCGTTGTTATTTCTCACCAGATTAAAGTCCCGAGTATCAGGTGCTCGATGCGTGCGAGACCACATCACGCCGTGCGGATTTTCCGACCGCTTGTAATTGCCGGAGTTCACACGCTCAAGCTGAGCAACTTCGTCTGGAGATCCACCCAGAGTCACCAAGATTGCCGAATTTCGTAAGCTTTGTTGGGCGAATTAACGACGCCGCCGTTACGTCAATAATCCCGAATCGCAACATTGCCCCTGAATGGAAGGCGGTCATTAGTTCCACTTGCTATCGCGGGGTCTTCGGAAAATAAACTCGCACGTTGTGCATTAGTCGGAGGAGAGTGCTGACGGAATGGGGCCAGGAGAAAATGCCGGAATTGAAAAAATAAAAAAATAACAGGAGAGACATTGCCGGGGAGAAAATTTGTCAGTCCCCTTGAATGCTTTGCAATACTGTACTGCACTGCATTGTACAGGCGGGATTAGCCAGATCAAAGCCAGCCTTAACAATGCAGTTGAAAAGTAAAAGCAATCCAAACTCAGAAACAATATCACGTTTACATCTCCTGGGCCTTGCTTCAAAATGTTTCAAAGGCATCGATTCTTCCTGGCATTTATCTTTCCTTTAACATGTAAGTACAGTATCTTGAAATGTTCTCATACTTTTCCCTGTTGGATATTGACTCCTACCAATGAATTTTTTTTCACCAGAATTTTCTCTTCCGTCATCGTCACCATTCCGACATTTTCCGATGGCAACAAGGAAGGCATAGGGCCACATGGCCCGACAGTTTCTGGACCCACAGACTTGCTCTCACCAGAGATACTGTCAATTTTCATTTTAATATGGCACAAGTGGTAAATTACAGTATTGCTTTACTCGCAGTATCATTTCTGTCCAGCCTTGTTGAAACAAAAAGTCAGAACGAGATTCCTGTGTTTATACCAAGTCCAAATCTGACATGAGGGTTTCCATTCTGGGTTTCCATTATATTGGATTTATCAAATTAAAACAATATTGAATTGATTGAAGTAACAGAAACAACTGCGATCACATAGAACACAATTTGAATGTTATTATAATTTTAATTCATGGAGAGGTAACGAAACGGTTGTTGTCTTTACTTGAGCCAATCTGATCCGAGTAACTGGGCTAATGCTTTACAAAATTTTCAGGAATTGAGAGTACGATGCCAGTTCATCCGTGATTTTTTCCCCAGCTGAATGGCAGTTTTACATGCAGCATTCGATTATCTGAGCGAATAAAGCCGGCAATTCGACCGGATAATCGGAGATTTACTGTGAATCAAACTACACTAAAGAACCGCTGAAGGACGAAATGATGCGGCAATATATTTTTTGAAAATATAAATACAGTAAATCCTTGCAGTATTTGTTGTGGCTGGTAACAAAACTTATGGACTATCCCTTGTTCAAGTCTGACAAGTTTTATTTCCATCGTGTGAACTGTGCGGACGAATGACGCAGAACGTGGGTTCAATTTCATCGCTAGGATCTTGGGGTACTTCGAGCTAATCTATTTATGGCTGCACACATGGTGTCTTCTTGAGGTGTCGAAAGAACCGGGGTTCTCTCATTTGTTTGGAGCCCTTCTTTGTCGCGGTTTGATTCATGTGGACACCCTGGTCCAATCCTGGATAGGTTTTACGATTTTTACCTCTGTCAATCGGGGCGAGAATCTCAGTGTTTTCACTGGAAAACCCGTCCCGTAAATCGTCGCTGGAGATATCGAAGTCGTCAATCACAACCATGAATGCTCAATAAAAATGATCAAAATCGGGATATGAGGGGCAGGAGTCAACAAGGGGCACTTGGCGAACAATGCAGCAAGTCTATCGCGCGAAGCTTGTTGAGATCTCGGAGAAGAGAAGACATTTCATGCCATGCGCATGCGAAGGACTGATTTATGTTATTCATGCCTCACTTTGAAGGTGGTCTGGTGACTGTTCCCGTGATTTATTCCAATGTAGTCGAAACATCACCGAAATTCTATGAACGACGCGCAACAAATGCGGTGCGATCAGGGGAAAAAAATCCTTGATATCTGTTGTTCATTTTCATCCAGTACCGCTGTTGTCACTGTGGCGAGGCAAAAAAGCTCCTCAATTTCGCGGATATGGATGATGATGAGCTTTTCATCGTTTTGAATATCATGGACGTAGAATAGCTCTTCTGTTCGCTTCCGTGTCCGAGTCATGATTCAATTTGCATCTCGAGCAGCAGCTCGAAATTTTCCATCATTAATCAAGTCTAGAAAAAGGGCGGCACTCGGGAAATGGTTCGGGAAAAGAAAGGAAAACTAGCAAGAAGAGTACAGTATTTTTTTACGCGCTTCATATCACGAGAAATGAACCTTGGCATAGTAATTATCATCCAGACTTGCGTCTATTCGTTATTGTCTGGAACTTCTCGTTCTTTCGCTTTTCCAGTAACGAGCATGCGAATCAACTTTATTTTAATAAGTCTAATTCGTATTGATTCTGTGGTTTAAGGAGTACTGTGCTTCGTGGTTGAGATGCATCCCGCATGAATTCGTGATTCAAACAGAAATATAATCAAGCGTATGCCAGACAAGGAAATGCTGGGTCATATGAGAGGGTTCTGTGAGAAAATCCGGGTAAAATATGCAAAAGAATAAAGCATCCGAAGTGGAAATGGTAAAAATGTGAAGTCTAAAGAATAAAAATAAGCTACAGTACTTGCTTCTACTCAGGGGACATATTTACTTTCTCACAGCCCACTTTCCAAGTTTTGAAACTTTATTTAATTTTTATAGTAATGCCAGCACATTTCCTTCAATAAAGCTGAATATACAAACTTGCAGAGGTTTTCAATTTGCTGTTTAGGGTTTCCCATGATGCAAAGTTTAATAATGCATTCACAAAATGTAGGATCGAAATATTTGAGGTCATGGAAAAATATACGTCTCTCCCTGCAACGAAATTCAAGGTACCAGAAAAAATCCGTTGTAGAGAACACGTATAGCATGGGGAGATAACCCTAAATTCGTTATACAGAGAAAATCTTTCGAAACAATGTCGTTCTACAGTCCACCTACAGTACTCCACTTCCCACATGGCCATATGCATGAAATTTGTGTTTATGGCAGCGGGATTTTCTTTCGAGCCCTCCCAAGAGAACGACAGGATATCGAAGAAAACGGCTCGATCTTGAATTGTGAATAAGAATACTTCGAGGTAATTTTCTGGAGTAAAAATGCTCTGTTGATAGGATTGCACGCGGTGAGTAGCGCATTCGTGGTTCGAACCCAGTCCGGGCAGAACCGCTTCTCCCGGATGGATGGGAAAGTGGCGTGATTCTGTTTTTGATCGGCCGAGAACCCCTGATGACTTGATCCGATCCATTTGTCTGGATTTCTATTTTGCTCATCTGCCATGCTACAATTACTGTACTGTACTATGTTACCGCTACTGTATGCAACAATTTTAGAACAGAATCATTCTCTTCTTGAGTACATCTGTGGAATACGCTTCGCCCTGCGTCATGCCTCGCAAAATCGAAGGTCCGAAGCCAGCGTTTCCCGTGGCATTCAAGGCAGAGTTTTTATGTGGATTTGAAACGAAGTAATCCTCGGGGATGGCCAGAAAAAAAAGTGCAGATGTTGCTTTCAAAAATGGCCGAAATGTTTGCATTTCTTGCCTCAGACCGATGCATCTTGAGCCCTCATTCAAACTGAATTGCTCTTAATTGACACCAATAAATAAACACTCCATCAAAAAGGTCCGTCGCGTAGATTTGAATCAGACAGGGCATCGAATTTTTCATCCTGGGGTTTGGGGAGCCTTGGAGGTGTGCGTCCAGTTCCCAGAGGCTCCATGCTTGTTCTTAAAAATTAATTTAATGACGAAGAAAATTACACGAAGTCCTGCCGTATTTACAACGCGGACATGCTGAAATTTTTTGGCACAAAAAATAAAGAGGAGCGTTACATAATCGATAGCGCATTCTGTCTGAGTTTAAATTGTCTTCTGGCAACTTGTAAAAAAGAAGAATTCTATCTCATGAGACCAAACAAAATAATTTGGGAGACATACGCAGGGTGGATTCAAGGGGCTCTGCGATACAAATCGATTATAAAAAGGGCTGCTTGTGTCAAAAAGGTTGAGAAACTTCGAGCCAGATGGTTCACAGAAGCTGTGATACTTGGAATAAAATTGGAAATGTTGTTCCTAGACGTTCCCAAGACACGGAGTCGCCTGCATGATGAAGTCAAGTCTGGACTGAATCTCAGCAGCTCGACAGTACGGAGATGACGGCTATAAATTCGAGTCACTGTATTGCGCAGTCACTCAGATTAAGGTCACAGACGGAATCCACTTGACAGCGGTCAACCCGTCGGACCAACAGCTACGAAATAAAACAGGCACGTCTCATTTTTTTGTCACAATTTTCAGCTTTATTCATTTGAAAGAACACAGAGTTGACTTGTCCTCAAATACATCATGCCATGCGTGATCAGTTCTCTCCAAAATTACTCTCCGGCCGAATCAAAGAATTAACACATGTACAAAAAATCTCAACTTTTTCAAGACACGCGCTGTTCTTCAAACGCGTAACACTTAACTGATAGGATGAACACCACCATTGTCATAACTCCTTTCAGTTAAACGACGGCTGTGATTCGGCCTCTTTCACGCGCAAATGACGACGAGATGAAAGAACAAACCAGGAGTGGAAACATGCTGAAAGCTCACTTTTACTGGACGAGCAAGAAAGGGGTAAAGTTTCCTAATCCCCCAACGAAAGCAGCGAACCCTCTCTCAGTGGCGAACAAGAACTCAAGCACCAGAACGATGTCTGAACCAGGCATGGTAACTATTCAAATTGAGACGCGATGCTCAATGTTCGACATCAGTGCTTCATCTCGAGAGAAAACAAAAATAGATGGAGACTTGTTTCGCAATTTAACAACGCGCTGCTACAACGTCAACCACAAATATAGCAGTTTTCGATGTCTGAACAAAACTGATCGAGAAGACGCAACTAAGAAAGAGCTCATCCCACCAAAAAACTATGTATATATAAATATAAACGGAGGACAGAATAAGCCTAAGAAAAATCAACAAACAACAATATAATCCCTACTTCAAAAATGTAAAATTAGATCACCGTGCCCGCAAAGGGCATTCATGAACAAAGAGATCAACGACTCGCAAGGAGAACATTGCATTGCCTCCGAAAAGAGTAAAAGCACGAAGAACGCAAAACATTGCTGAAAGGAATGTGCCGAATGGTGTGAAATTTGAGTAAGCAAGCGAGCGTTTAGTCGAAGAGCTCCGTCCAATGTGAAATCGACAGTCGAAGACTTCGGCAAAATTCTTTTTTTTTTTTTCCCCCGAGAAAACATGAAGCGTTCGTCGAGGCAATGCAACTTCGAAAAATCTTCGAGACAAAAGTAAATGATCACAATTCCAATTATTTCTCGTTCATAATCACTAACACTCCATTTTTCTCAAAAGGAGAACTGGTCAGAGGGGAAAAGGGCTCTACGTGTGTGAGAAGCATTAGGAACCCGCCTCGGGAAGTGCAGCGATGAAACGAAAAATCGAGCCGGAGATTTATCACAAGAGGCAGGCTAGCTACTGTGAAAGAGTCCTGATGCAGGAGACGATTCCTCACTGAAATGATGGCGCCCGTAATCAAACTCGACCGGATCGCGTTGAAAACAGGGCTGGGGCAAAGGAACTCGGGGAAATCTCTCCCCCTCCCCGGATTTACACCCAATTCGATTTCCTTTTTTGACCTGGAGTGTCAACACGAGCCACGGCGCGCGACGAACGAACGACGATCCCTTCAATACGATTATACATTGACCAGTGGTGGAACCACACTCTTAAAAAGCGTAATCAAGTCTTTGGGCTGGAAGCGTCAAGGCTCTCGGGCTACAATAAAAAACAAAAACAAAAAATTGTCTTCACAGTCCCGACTTCAATGATTCCCAGAGCGAGCTCAAACTTCAGTGGCGTAGACGTTGCCGTATTCCGCTCGACGTAGCGGACTGGAATGCGGCTGCTGCATCGACATCATGGCACGGCTGTGATTTAACTGTGCCCGACCATAGGACTCGTTGCTGATCACATACACCGAGCCAGGGTTGTGCATGCTCGACGGCTGCGGTCCCAGACCGCCACACGGAGACCCAGACGGCGGACTCGGCGATTGACAATAATCGGAATCCCCGGCGGATTTGCAGCCCAACGTGCTTTCACTGGAATCAAAACAAACAAAAGGGAAACAACAGGTGAAAAACTTGGCAATCACGCACGTCGAATCGGATGCCGAACACAAAAGGCAAGGCAACAAGGTTAACTCATTCCCAGGGCCAGCTCAGCGAGCCAATCTTCGCGCGGAGATTAAATCGGGAACTCCTGAGGTGACAAGGCGTACTTTGTGAGGCCCGGGACGAGAAATCCCTAGTCTAAAACTAGTCGGGAAACCGCAAGTAAAAAATATAAAAGAAAAAAAAAGCAAGTTGGGGACTCGAATTCCAGGCACAATTGAGCACCCGAAAGCGAGCGTCATTTGTATTCGAATTTGTATACTGGTGCGTACAAGGGCTTGTAAATAGCGACAATTATTGCTGCCGAGCGCATGAACAGGTGCGGAGATTACGGAGAAAACCAGGGCCTGGAGACCTCCGACCTCTGACCCAGGGGGCATCTGAACTTCGAAAGGCAATTCTGTTCGCGCCAGGCAACCCCTTTCTGGGTCGCTAAGTCGACACATAATCGCCGGCCCGGGCTCACGCCGCAATCTGCGCCTCAGACATCTCATCCATCCTACGGGGCTTCAGGGGGATTCAAGTAATATGAGCCACTTGATCGCCGGCGCACGGAAGCCAGGCGTAATAGAGACAATGGATTCCCGAACATCCGTGCCACCTTCACCCAATTTATGGCGCCGGAGACAACCGTGAACCGATAGGAAAAGAAGGGCGGCTCACCTGGTGCTGCAGAGGCCCGACGACGGGTCGATGGAGATCGAGGAATCACCACGATTCAGAGTCGATGGCCTGTGACAGCCCGAATAGGCCGTGTCCAGCTTCTCCTCGAGTTTATCACTTAGCACAGACGCCCTGCACAAGTCTGTGTTGAGCTGCTTGGGATAGGATTTAGTTCTTTGCAGACAGAGCTGCTCGGCGGCGCTCGGGCCACTCAACACACTGTTTCGGCCGACCATCGCCGCACTGGCACTCGCACCCCCCATCACACAACTGTCCATCGTATTGTCGAGTGACGAGTTGACGCACTTGGACGTCGTCGGGTAATCCAAGTTGTTGACGATCATGGCCTGCAAATGCAGGTTGGACGAGGTCGACGTGCCGAAGCTGCCGGGTCCGCCGCCGCCCGGCGACTTTTTGTTCGCCTCGCGACTGCAGTTGGACCGCGCATTGGCTTCGTTCTCCCGTCGAGCTTCCTCGTCGGCCCGGGCTTGTTCCTTCCGGCGTCGCTGCTTCAGGCAACAGACTGCCACTGCGGCGCACAACGCCACCACCGGGACCGCCACGGACACCGCCGCGATCGCCGCCACCTGAGACCCGCTCAGGTGCTCCTCGGACGCGGACGATTTGAAAGTCTCGCTTTCCAGCCACTCGGGACCAGGAACTCCGCGTCTTCGATCAAGAAAACTGCAACACAGGACAAATCAAATTTGCGTTAGAAACAAATCTGCTATCACGCAAATACATCAGAAAAAAAAATGTCTCGCCCCTGAAAATGCAGAACCCTCCATGACCGTACTTCCGCCCATAAATAGGGAGCAGACAGAATTTGGCCAGCATTTAATTACGATGAAAAGCAACTTAGGAAGACATTTCGAAAATATTTCAGAAAACATAGGCCCACGCACAAGCAAAACCTCAAATCCTCAAGATTGGATGGAGTAACTCGATTTTCACTCGGCCCAACCTTTACTTCTTGAGCAATTTTTTTTGTGCATCGCTGGGTACATCTAATCCTAAGACTGTGGTGCGACCTATACGCGAATACATCAAGTAAAGAATTTACCCAAGTTTTTTCTCAGGAAATTTATCTTTACAATTATATATTCTCTTATAATGTGCATGCGATAATATTGTAATGTATATCCTTATGTACAATGAGTACTGTAAATTTTTTATTTTCGACGGAGAAAAATGCATGAAAAAATATTCCTTTTACCAACATGACATACTGACGACATTCCATTCGAGAAGCGCATTGGCGATGGAAATTAGTCGATCATGATAATCAATCAATCGGAGTACAAATTATTACGATGTAATTCAGCTTCTTTGTTTCCTTTCAATATTTGGTGAAGTTAATCTCAGTTCGAAAAATTATATACTGTAGATGCAAAATGCTAGAAAACATCGGACTAGTACAGTATAACAGTTGATATCCTCTGCGTACATTCAAGGAATCATACTGAGCATCGTGACGGGATAAAAGAAATCTCGCAAGAATCACGAGCGATTGAACATTCCATTACAGTATTAAATGGACTGAACTCGGTACACTTCATCAGAACTGAGAAACTGACTCTCGACATTTATAAGCGCGTAAAAATTCCGGGAGAAGTCGTGATGTTTCAAAAGGAAAAAAAAGGTCCTTTGTCGGATTCCAATTAATGCTCGGCTTGGATCAACAAAGGAAGAGTACTTCACGGAAGATAAATATGAATTACGGTTCGGCATTAGGGTATTGAAGAAAGATGATTGGTGGGAACCAACCTGCAGAGCGGTCCAGTGAACCCAGGAGGGCAAAGGCAGGTGAATCCATTGGACAAATCTTTGCAGGACCCGCCGTTTCGGCACGGGGACGGGGAGCAGTCGTCAATGTCGACGCTGCAGTCTTTTCCCGTCAACCCCGGAGGACAGTCACACATGTAGTCGTTGACGAGGTCCACGCATGTCGCACCCTGGGCGCAAGGGTTGCTCGCGCAGTCGTCGACGTTGGTCTGGCACAAGGCACCGACGAACCCGACAGGGCAAACGCATGGTCGGTGGCCCCCAGGACAAGAGCCGCCGTTCATGCAAATCGCCGCCGACGAGCACGACGTAATGTTGCGTTCGCAACGCTCGCCTTCGTGGAACGGCTTACAAACGCAGCGGAATGAAGAAAGAGTATCTTCGCAAGTACCACCTGGGAAAAACGGTTGAAACACAGTCTTTATAGCGGACCTGGCATCGGCGGAAGCAAAGTCGGTTCCTGCTTCACATAGCTTTCGTTTTAGCCCCACGGCAATCGTTTCGACGATGTACGCGGAAGCTCTTTAGAACGATTCCGTCTACTATGGCAAGGCTTTCCTATCGGCAGAATATGCACCAATGGTGGTACTTCAGCCATCTGACAAGTACAGTATTACGCAAGACTTTCCCACGGTACAGCTGGTGTTTTGAACAAATGATACGCGGATAGAAGTAAACTGGGAATGCAAACAAGACATGGCAAATTTTATCTTAGTCGGTCACTGATAGTAGATTACAATACTGTGCTGTACTCGGTAGGTACTGTACTAAACTCGAATGTGAAGGTGGAGCACCAACACTGCCCGGCTCTTTTACAATTGCGAAAAATATTCAGATATCCATAAACTAGAAAACCTTTTCTGCAAAGAATTTTTAGTCGTGCCTGACTATCTGATAATGCTTCACCAGCTTTCATTTTATTCATATTTTGTTATTTTCAGACTCAACTTCTACAAATGTATGCGCAGCTCTTGCAGATATAACTGATCATTTCTTGATCTCCCGGGGATCATTGCTGGACTTCTTCATTTACTGGCGCAGAAAAGCTCTAGCTGAATGATTTTAATACCATTCGGTGATTGCTCGTATACGAAATACAATACGGGTAGAAAGAGAGAACTCACCATTTTTGCAGGGGTTGTTGGCACAATGGTCCAACTTCGTTTCGCAGTTGGATCCCTCGAACCCGGGGCGACAGAGGCACGTGTAGCCGAACTCTTCCGAGTTGACACAAGTGGCGTTGTTCTGACACGGGTGATCCGAACAAGAAGTGGCGGCGGTTTCACAGTGGCGGCCATGCCAGCCGCGCGGACAAGCGCACGTGTAATTCGTTCCGCTGTCCTGCTCGTCGAAGAAATCGGAAATGAAAAATGAAGAATAATTAGACGTTACGCTTGGCCCAAATTTATCCACTCCCAATTAAATCACGCGCGCGGTCCCACGCTGATGACCGTTCTTCGAGAATTAAACCCATGTCGTTTCCAAGCCGGACGAAATAGTACGCGCACACATCATTCGTCAATCCAGAAGAATGAGAGGGAAAAATGTTGCTTCGAAATCTTCCTTTTCTCTCGCACCGGGCTGCATTGCTGGAAAACATTCCAGCGCGCGAGCCCGACAAACCAGCCGGGAAAACAATGGAGTTTGAATTCGTGATGCCGGTGAGAAGGGGGCAACGTCGACGCGCGGACCTGGAGACACATTCTTCCCCTCAGGCAAGAATAATACGTCAACTCCGGGACCCGCAAACCAACACCCGGCGTGACACGAAATCGTCGCGCTGCAGCGGAGGTCGCGGAAAAGAAATCGTCGCAACTCATTTCGTCGAGACGGATGACCCGCGGGCGACCAGAAGCCCGTGTAAATGCTAATGCTATCCGCGCGCGGATCAGCGATGATTTCCGTAGCGAGGGAGCGTCTTTTATTCGATCCCCGGCGTGCTCGGCATTTCGGTGTTACACGGAGGTCGGCGGGAAGAACCATTCTTCCGAGGAGGTTTCTTCCCACCCTGTCAATACCAGGAATGCGTTCGCGCTGCCATTGTTTCAGCCGAGGTTGCAGACCTCTGTGCGCCAGTTCCCCGCGACCAATTCCTCACGGCTCTGTTACCCTTTTCAGGCGACCATGACGCAACGCTAACAAACCCCGACTCGTACCCTTTTGGTACCCGAACTTGCGTCGTCATTTGCCGTCGACGAGCACCATTTTCCTCCGTCACGATTTGATTACTGTACTTCTATTCTGAATCGTACCCCTCCCCCGACGACAAATGCAATCTTACTCCCGGCTTTCGCCTTGGTTGGATGCACTGTATCTGGTTAAGCAAACAATTACAGTATATTTGAAGAACTATAATTTATACCCCGCAGAATTTACAAAAAATGTAAGATAAGAAGATCGCTAGTCAAACTTCACCCCTTTCTACGCAAGCACAACAAATCGCGAATAAACCACGACTCGTACCCGTTTACCATCAGTACTCGCTAGAATAGTTTTTCGACACGCTTCGACTTACAGTACTGTACATTACAGTAATTCTAGATCCTCAAAAATTGCCAAGCAATTTCAAAAATTACGATATCGACCTCCATTCAATCGCGATAACAAGCATTAATAATTTCTAGAAATTGAAGGTACTGTATTCATGTTCCCAAAAAATAAAAATAAACAAAGCTTTTCGCCAAATTACCCCTATCAAAAGCATTAAGCAACGCGGAAATTCGCTGTCCTTCCTTCCATCGCGATTTCCAAACTTAAATACAGTACTTGTAAGTACGGTACTGTATTCGCATCCTCCTACGGTCCTACCGAAGACCGCCAAATAATCCCTTACATAACATTACAAGCTACTCCCCGTTTCTCGCAAGCAACTCCAGTCGGGATTCGAAAATCTGGTCATTTTACGAATTAGTGAATTACATTTCAAAATCAAAATGTGCAAAGCAGGATAGGAACAAGACTTCCGAGTCAAAATTTCCACGTTGAACGGAACAATGGGAGTGAAATAATCGCTGCTTGGTGCCATCACGATCGAACACATTTAGAAAGCGAAGCAATAGCGGCAATAATGAGGTGCGACGAGTTAGCAAAAATCCAGTCCAGGGATAATAAAGCCCCCTTCCGAAAGATTGTTCCTACGTGCTTTCAAGTACTGCGGGGCTTTGTATACAAGACTCGTCTGGGAATTGTGGAAGAAACTTCTGCGTGCCTCGAAACAAAAGCCGGCTTTCGCGGGAGACAATCGCGCGGAACACTCAATGTTTGTCGAATCGATCGCGAAGAAAAGAATGAGTGAAAATCGCGCAGGAATGATCATCAGTCGGTAGGAAAACTTACCAAGCAAGTACCACCGTTGAAGCAAGGCTTGTTGGAGCAATGGTCCAACTCGACTTCGCAGTCTTTCCCGGTGAAGTTGTCCGGGCAAGTGCACGTGTAGCTGCCCTGACCGGTGTTGAAGCACGTTCCTCCGTTGCGGCAAGGACTATGGTTGGTGCAGTAGTTGAGGTCTGGAAAATGCAAGAGACAAAGACGTCGGGGTGATAACAACAGCGAGTAAGGAACGATTATGTCAACAGAGGCACTGAATAAGAAAGAAAAATAAAATCCAACTCAGTCCGCCATGGGGACAAGAGTCGAGTGCCATCATGTTCTCTCCCTCAGGATGAGTATTGATGCAATCAAAAACAGACTAACGACACGAAATATCTATTACGTGCCGTCAGTGTGGGCGACATTGTGTCCGGTCGGCGAAGGGAATTATTACAAGACGCCGATGTTGCTCGTATTGTTTTCACGGTGTGGACCGTCAACTTGCGATGCTCGTGAAATGTTTCCACGTCCATCACCCGAGCCCGTCCGTACACCTTGATGGTACCTGGCCGGATCCGAACGATGGGAATACGGTCGAGTTGTCGCGGACAGATCTGGGGTGCCTGGGCCGAAGAAGGCCTCTTATTCCCATCCGCAGCCGCGAGTCGCTGCCGCAGATCGGATTCGCGATACCAGATAGGACATCATACAGAGGCATGTTTAAAAAAAAAAAAAAGAAGGAAGGAAAAATATTAGGCCGGCGTGGGAACTTCGGCCGATCGCATACCAGCGATGCTCCTGTGGTTGGTCCGCGTTCTGGGCCCAGTACCGCGTCTTATGCTCGGCTTTTTGCACGGAAAGGATTAGCTGCGCATTTCCCCCCGTCACATCCCTTTTTTTACCTTCCCCCTCCCCCCGCGACATCCTGCTCCAGTTCTGCGGCCCGCAAGAATCCCGAGAGAGCGATTTACGCGGATCCGGCGCAAGGAAGTGCTGCGTCACCCGAATCACCGACCAGGAGTCGTCTCCGGGAAGGATGAGGGACAGCAGACTCTAATCGAGGCCCGATTTAGAAGACTTTCGACGCCCTTGGAGTTGATGGCTACGGTGCGGCGAGGTACTTGATGGGTGCCTCTCTTTCTCTACCCATTCCCCGTGGTCCGCAATTCCTTCTGGTTGCGGAACGCACGACTTGAGCAAAGAAAGAGAGAGAGGACAATCGACATAGCAATCCGAGCATATCATGATGGGCTGCGGAAACGAGACACCGCGGCTCTCACGCGCACTCGGCGAGACCGATCAAGGAAGCAATCCGGACGGGCACAAAGGGGCTCCCAGTACCCGACGAGGTGACCTACTGATTATGACGAGACCCGGGACAGACTTGACCGATCGGTTGTTTATGGCAGTTTCGACCCGTCGTCAGGTATGCGAATGAACAACGGAGTACAGGTGCGTTAATATCCTTGAAACTCGACCACCGCCCCTATCTAGGTGGACAATTATATTTCTCGCCCAACGATAATCATAAAAGTCATGGTTTACCTAGAGTATTGTGTAATTCATCCCGAAGAAAATTGGCCTTGAATTACTGTAAAACACAAGCATGTCCAAAATTCTTCTGATGGACATTTTTTAAAGTTGCACATGAATCAACTGCATCAAGTTGAATGTTTGGAAGGAAAACGCGAAAAAAACTAATTAAAAAATATCTTAAAAGTTGCCTTTACATGCAATTTCAATCTCGAAAACGTTGAACAGTTGAGCAAGGACGAGACCCCGGGCCGTTGGAAAATCATTCGTTTTTAGAATTTTATACTTTCCAGCAGGCCCTCAAATATCTTCGTAAATCGTGAACTGAATCCGACATTTCGTTTTGATCCCCTTAGTATGGTTGAAGATACTTCATGCATGTTTATAATTTTAAATGCCACAAGAGCGCACCAGACACGCCATAAAGGTTGTTAACGAACCTACAAAACGACTTGGCACATAAAAAGGAAAACGGAAAAAAGAAAAGAAATGCAGTACATGTACTTTATATAATTAACCTATACATTGAATTTGAATATTTTCAAAAAGCTCTCGAAAAAATTTAAAAACTGAATCGGGCACGGAGTACAAATAGAATACGTAGTAGTGACCTACTGATGATGAAGAGACCCGGGACAGTCTTGACCGATCGGTTGTTTATAGGAGTGTCGACCTGTCATCAGGTATGCGAAAGATCAACAGCGCCCAGGTGCGCAAACATCCTCGGAACTCGACTACTGGGCACCGTGGCCCCCGAGGCTCCCACGCCGCTTTTTCTTCGCGTAATTAGGCAAGTACTATCTCTCTCTCCAGCTGGACAATTACGGCCGGGAACAGGGAGGGGAAAACGCAAATCACTCCGGAAAGACGGGCCGGGGAGGAATTTGACACAAGCATCGCTTCCGTCGCTACGAGTTTTTCTCGCGACTCATTTGCAGACACCGACAGTCGGACACAACGGAAGAGAGTCATAAACTCGGTCTCGACTTACCTTGGTCGCAAAACAATCCGCCCCAGCCTTCTTCGCAGTTGCACTCCCACGGGTTCCGACAGGTTCCGTACTTGCAACCCGGGTATTTCTCGCATTGGTCGCACTTTTCTCCGGCCCATCCGTGATGACACCTGCGGAAACACAGACAAGATCTTAAGTCTCCAGAATCCTCAGAACAATCGAAAACAGGCGGGTCATTTGTTACGCGAAAGGGATTCTGCGGAACATCGCAAACACGGGCGTGAGAATAGACCCGATCAAGTTTACAACTCAACGCCCGTGGATGCAACTAGATAAGATTCCTGCGGATAATCTAACCTCAACGCAAAAAGAAGCCCTTCGCACGAGCAAACACTCCGAAAGGGCAAACAGACATGCAGAGACAATGAAACGCGAGAAAAAAGGGGGGAGGGAATACGCAACAGGGACCAGCAAACATTGAAGAAGGAAACAATTTCAATGGTCCGGGCTCTCAGATGCTCGGTGGAAACCCGGCACCACCGGCAGCAGCCTCATCACGGGCCCTTCCGCGGGGAAGGAAGTTCAGACTTCGCGCCAGAACATGATGAACAACTGCTGTCGGTGAAAAGGAGCCGTGAAAAAACGGGGAATAAAAAAAAAGAGGATCAGGCGTCTATTTGAAGGTGGAGCCACTCGACCACCTGTTCTTCCAGGTAAGGCCAAACGTTGCTCGGACACCACAATCGCCTCTTTTTTTTATATCAGGAGGCTCTGCGGGCTTGATCACGGGGATACCGACCAATTTTGATTCAATTGGGAGTCGAGCGGCGGAAAACAAACCCCGAGTTTCCCACGTCTCAAGGGAGGCGGAAAACAAGGCAATAAAACAGAGATAAGTACTCACTTGCACTTGAAGGGCTCCGTGCAGGTTCCGTGGTCTTTGTGACAGCCTTCCGCGCAAATCGCTGCAACGAGAGAAGAAAAAAAGAGCGTGAGAGAGTTTAGAAGCTGGCCGGAAACGCCAATTCCGTCGCAAAAATAAGTGCCAGTGACCCCCCGCGTGGTCAACAGGAAAGCGCCGCGCCGGAACCCACGGAACGGAACACAGGGTCCATTCACGGGTATCATGTTCTGGAATTCCGGAGTTAAATCATGGCAGGGCGCTTTTTTCGGGGGGTCGAGCTAGTGGCGCCCGATTTTGGCGCGCGCTCAGGCCCAAAAAGGCCTGGTTTTCCCGAGTGATGGTGCTGGTGGGGGGAAAAATGTCGCAACCCCCCCGGACAAAGGCTCCGGCAGCTGCGTTGCCGGCTTTTCTCCCATCTTCCGCCTCGCTCGCATCTGTCGCACAGGGGAGAGACTGGGGGCTCCGCGAGGGGTGCAACAGTGACAGCTGCCACGCGCGCCGCTCATAATGCCACTAGTCCGGCGCTCACTTCCATTTCCCTGCTCCCACCTTGGGGCCGAGCGCCCGGCCCAGAGCGCACGAAACATCTGCCACCCTCATCTCCAAGTGTGCTTATGCTCCCTGGGTCTCGGCCGCAGTGACTTCAACGTAGAACTTTTACCGCGAACGCTTGACCACCTCTGGTCAACTGTTACCCCCTCCGTTTCCTGCATGCATGTACAATGCAACCCCCTCCGACCCAAGCTAAAAACTGAGACTTGTTTCGCACAACAATCGGGTTCCGGCCATGTAAGAGCGCATGTGCGGAAATTAATCTGGTTTTAACATTAATAAGACTGCATGCTATGTTCAACTACCCCGTCACAAGCATTACATAAAAATGGACATTCGGATCAGCTGCTATGATACAAGTAGGTATTTAAGGTGCTCAAACAGGACAGTACGTTCCATTCACGGGGGCGACAAGCCCAAAGGTTCAAAAGAAGCAATACAAAAAATATCCTCCATTACAACACATTTCCCGTAAGTCGATAAAATTTATATTCGAACAGCCCCATCTAAATCGGTGTTCTTTGAATAATTGCCAGTACTCCTCGGTAAATTCAGATATTTCTCAAATCCGAACGTGCGCTTAATCAGTCTTGGTAGTTGCGGTTGGTCTACTACTACACTGAACCGCGTTTAAGCATTAAAATACACAAATAAAATATATTGTCGGATTTAAGCAAGTAATGAGGATTCCAAAGTAATGGATAGGTCATCTGCAGGGTCCGCAGTTTGATTAGTTCAATCCCGAAAAATGGGACTGCAGTACTCGAAAAGGATAGATATCAATTCCATCGACAACAACCTGTAACTCCGTGATAACTTTTATTCGTGGTTTTTAGACAATTACCTACCAGCATTCATTTCTGTGAGGTACACATTCTACAGTTTATTTCCTTCCTCGCGGTAACCTCGAGGGAAAGCAGAAATAATACGCCGAGTTGAAACCACAAGAGGAATGTGGGCAAATCAAGGCCAGAAGCAGAGTTTGAACTAGTCATATACGAAGTTTCGTGAAGTCACTGCGATGCGGGCGACCCGGTTGCGGTAGGTCACGAAGGGGGAGGCACAAAAAAAGATGGGAAAAACAACAAGAAAATTCCATCTTACCTTGAGTGCAATATTCACCGGTCCAGCCATGGTTGCAAATGCGCTTGCCTTCAGGCGAGCAAGTGAAATGCCCGAATGTGTCGTTCCGCGGTTTGCACAATGTGTCGCACTTGGGACCGTAGTAGTCTTTGCTGCAAACGAACCTGAACTCATAGCTCAAGTCAGACCGATTCGTATCGTGACGATTCGTGTTCCACATCCCTCCGGGCTCCAGGTACTTCTGAATGGCTGACCGCGAAATGAGGATGTCTTCTAGGGAGAAACGAGGAAACTCCATGAAAAATACGCATCAAATTTTGTTCGTCTCAACCCCACTCTTTTTTCAATCAACGCATGGCATAATTTCGGTCAGGTTCGCATCATGGAGGCTGAACAAAATGCAGTGTGCACCTACGATCAATACAAACAAACGCAGCACGCGGTCGCAACTGGTTCCTTTCCCACGGGTCCGATTCACGCAGATTAACAGCCCATCGATGTTTTTCGAAACGCGATATTCTCTTACTTCTTAGAATTTATCAGACACTGCGCGTGTGTGGAACGGCGCGATAAAAGTGGATTCAACAGCGACGAGAACCCACGACCTTGCTGAAGTGGCCGCGTAGTTACGCCGGGGGAAGAAAAAAATAATATCAAGTACTAGATGGTACGTACACGTCGCCGAGGGGGAAGGATCGCACGTCGTCAGCACCAGCGCGTTGCGAACCGTGGAATCCTCGGCTTCCAGAAACGACTTTAAATGCTCCGCGGGGAGACCGGAAAAAGGCGGTACCCGGGGGCCCCCAAGACGGACTTTTCCTTCCGAGCCACCGGAAGAGACGAAATTATTGCGCGGTGCGGACACAGCAGCAACAGGGAGTAACAACGCGCAATCCACTTTGAAGTCGGTCACCCCGAGCGCAGCAATAAAGCTCTCGCTCCGGGCAAAAAGGCAGAAGCCCTCTGAAAGCACTCGGGTTCAATTTGGTCTGGCCACTATTCCTGCAGTCGATAAATGATCCGCTGTAAACCTTCATCATCCCTTTGAGAACGCCATGTTGATGACCTCACATCGTCAGCGCGTTAAACGGCAATCCCCACGGGGGAAACACGTCCGAGGATAATAAGTCCTGAAACTCCTGACAGATTCCACTGTGCCATCTTAGAATCCCGAACCCAAGAGACAGAGTTTCTCAACCTTTTCGACAAACCCGGCCCCTCATGTCTGCCTCTTGCACTACAACGTGACGAAAAGTATCTTTAAATATTTCGAGTCACGGACAGGAGATTTGTATTAAGCTAGAATTAATTTAATTTTCCTTGAGCGGCCGCGATGCCCCCAGGGCTACGCGAAGCATGAGTAGGGAACAACAACTAAAGGAGTCATTTCGTCGCACGGAAGCTGTGTTTTTCAGTGAGGTTTCTGTGAGGAGAGCATTTCATCTTCTTAACCGTCAAAAAGAACTCTAGAAGCAGGCATGTAGGGCAAACTCCGCGTCAACCGGAAGTCACACCAATAAACGCCCCCACCTCCACGACAGCTGTGAGCCATCTGTTGACCGCGCACAATGCCGAACCTGAGTACCGATTGCAGAGTCATCTAATCGTTCAAAGTTTTTCCCACATCAAGACTTTCAACTCTACACACGCACGCGAGAATCTTTCGGCGCGATAAAAACCAGATAGCACGCAGAAAACCGCACCAGGAGTCCCGATACCCCGAGGACGTTGTTTCGCCTCTTACGCCGAGGCCTGAGAAATTTCTTGGCGAGTAGACGCTGCCCCTAGGCGATTCCCCTTGAAAATATCCGAGGAAAATCCCATCAAGCTACGTATAGATTTCCCGCTGTTCAGGGTCCCACGTTACCCGCACGCAAACATAACGCATACCCACCCTGGAAATGATGTACTACCGGCTAGGGAAACTGCATGTGCTGGAGGAGCACCTGCGGAGGGCCGAAGGAACAGTCGGGTGATGGACACACGAGGGCTTCCTGCCGATCGCGAGCTTCCCTGCGGGCTAATTTTCTAGCCGACGCTGAAATCACGGCCTGTTGTCCGCGTGTTAACACGCGGATAACAAAATAACAACCTCCAACTCGGTGCAAAAACCAACATTCGAGCAGAAAATTTATTTCGCACCGAGTTGACTGGCTTCTCTCGGTTTCGCAGACCCAAGAAGTCAACTTCCGGAGACGAGACCCTCAGAGTTAGGGGGGGGGGGGAGAAGGCTGGGAATGTCAGTATCTCGGAAGCTGCAGGAGAAAAAGCCCGCAGGGAAATACCATCACGATGTTGGCAAATCGAAGCAGGAGACACACAACCGCGTAAAAGCGCCAGGATTGTTTGATCAGGGCAGAAACGACCGCGAGGCACGAATTTCCCAGCGCGGTATAAAAATCACAGCTTCACCTTCTCGCGACTCAATGACTTTAAAATCACAGCAAACGAGACCGATCTATTCACCTAATACAAGTGGCTTCTGAAGAGCCTCCGCTCAAGCGGCGATTTCACACAAGGTGAGGATAAACGCGGGTCAACGCTCCGAAATGCGAACCAGGGAAAATTCTCACGGAAAGAGGTGAATAAGGGCCCCGGGTATCTCACCTTGCTTGTAGATGGCAGATCTGGCTGTCGGGGAGTTGCTCGACGATGAACTGTTCCCATCGTGCCATGTTTCCATGATCAGAGAAAACGTTCCCTGGAAAGGAGAAAATGAAACCAACTTCAAATATTGATTTACTTGATCGAATTCCACGGGTCAACTTCAGCCAACTTCCATGGACCTCAACCAGTGCTCCAAAGAAATTTCTTCATTTACTGGAATACCATGAGCACTTCTCTCAAAATTCAACAAGAATACAATTCGTGCACTTCAAAAAATCGTGAAGGGTTTTTTAAATTTTTAATTCTAAAATGTCAAAGACGCGTGATACTCGAGTTGGGTAAATTATGAAAACTCCCGAAAATAGTAATAATGTATTGTAATATATAGTAAGCAAAATAAGTAGGGACTAAGAAAATTAGACCAAAACTAAGCCTTCAACCATGACCCAAATATTAATTGGCTTCGTAAGGGACAGGGGATTAAAAAAAGGCCCCGCGATCCGAAAAGCTAAGAACCTCTTTTCCAACAAATTGATGTGAAAGGGCAAGATGCACTTACAGGCCAGGTGACGTTGAGTGAGAACTCGATCACTTTCTGAGCGATCGAGTCGGGGGACGGCACTTCGTCGTCAACGTTGAACTTGAGGGAATTGTTGCCCAAGACAGGGGTAACATACTCGCCGAACGTGCACGGCGTCGTATGATCAATATTGCTTTGATAATGCTTCAGACAGACGCGAATCTTGGTTCGGCAGAAGCCAGAGCAGCGACCAGTGGAAGTCGGGAATCCAGAGCAGCACCGGCCTTCATTGTCAATTCCTAAATCATTCCTGAAGCTCCGTAATCTCAGCTGAAAAACCCCGGTTCCTCGAACGACCTGCAAGAAGCCAGACGGCGGAAAGTGACGTCAATCTAACCCTTGTCATTCATTCTCAACCCCCCGACGACAGCGTGTTTTCCGCAACTGACGCGTCGGATGAGGCTTGTCCAAAGGTTGTGGATGCGCCCCCGAGCCACGAAATTCGATCTCTGAGAAGTGACAGTCCCTAATCGTCTCAAGGGGTTTCCGTTTCCCAAGCATATAGACAGAAAACATCACCCAACACTCTAATCTTTCGAGAAGACTATATCGCAAAAGTTCCCACGCCATGGGTACCTAGCTGTTGATAAGCTCTCAACGCCCCGAAAGTCTAATTGTAGCACGCAGCAAAAACAATCCGCGAATGCAAGCATTGTCTCTAATATACCCATAAACTACATAAAGGAATTCCGATTGACTGAACGACTGAGATGAAAGCCGGAAAATACTTCCTGCGTTCCGTCCTTTCAAGAACAGTTTCCTCATTAATTAAAAGGAAATAGAACAAAATACAGGTCAAATAAATAAGGTAATCGACCGAATTTTCTCAAATTGTCGGGAATTCTTATCTACCATTTCCTTCGCAAACTATGCTCGAACTTCAAACAATTGATTTGTTATTGTCCTCCTTGCGATTACAGAATCGAATTTTTTTTAATTGCCATAAAAAGAACGCCAAGTTTTCCCCGAATTGGAAGCTTCGACATCTTTCCCTTGAAATTCGACAAAACTTTTCCACTGATACTTGTAGTGTAATAAACAGTACAGGATACTCGCGTTTGCATGTAACAAGAAATTTATCGGAATTTCGACAAAGTTCAGCTGCATTTTATCATGCGTCAGGAAATAAGAGTCGATTTCGTGGCTCGTCATTGACATTTGAGGAACGTTCACAGATTATTAACTCAGGATGAAAACCATAATACACACCTGAAGTTCACTGACGAGTAGGACACTGATGATTAATCCAAGAAGCGAACCGATCTTTCGATTCATGATGGCTGCGCGAATTGCGGATCACTCGAACAGTCGGGCAAAATTGAATTTGCCTTTTCCAGTTCTTTCGTCACTTGGAGAACATCAGCGACCACACTTCACGTCGATCACAGTTCTTCGCAGCGTTCATCGAGGTTCAACACAAGCGAACGAGACCGCGTCACAAATGTCCACACTCGTCACGTATCGCTCGTAGCATTTGCACCAACCACTTTTTCCTTTTCTTTCTGCGGAGATAAATCAGGATTAGGCCTAATTAAAGCCAGTCGTCACTCGTCAGCACAGTAATTTTTTAGAGGTTTCAGTTGGTTTCTCTACTTCCGCGCGAAGGCACTTGCTTGTGACATCAAAACCCATAAGATTCGCAAACGGGAATAATTCTTCCGCAATGACACGCATTATATGCAACATAGTTCTCACAACACAGCAGCAGTAGCAAAAATATTGAATTAATGGATAAATGTATGTACGAGTGTAAAGACCTCTTGAGCGTTTTCCCACTCACTCAAGTCACAACCGCGGCCGCACAATTCGAAGTGGCCTCTTTCTTTTTTTTTTTTAGCTGACGGAAAATGTTATGTGTATGCTCCAAGAATTTATTGTGCGTAGATGTCGAATTACAAAAACGGTAGACTTGAGGGGATGTCACTCGGGTAGGCTACCGAATGCCATCAAATAAATTTTTTTCTTCTTCACGAACGCAACGCGGCACTCCTCACAGGCAGCGAGAAAGCAGGCTACTGACGCGCAACTTCGCCGCGGCTCGCGAAGAGCCCCTGTCTGTGGCTGCTGTGTGCTTCTGAATCCTGCCGCCCGGCCCCGCCTGAACCGCGCGCTTCAACCCGTCGTCCAACAGCTTTAAAGGTTTATAGTACCCGGGCCCCGAGGGCGGGAGTGGGGGGGACCAGGTTCCCCCACTCCTCTTGTGTATACCCTCTCGTTCCCGCGCATATCCCGCCGCGCCAAAAAATCTCCTGTCCTCGACGGAAGTCGCACCCGATTTGCCTACGGGTAAACTTCCGGGTTCTCTGCGGAATATCGAGAGCAACGTTTGCCTCTGTGTCATGCATCATGCAACGCTCTGGAAACGTACTGAACAGTAGAAGGTACTTCAGGGAGCGTCCATTGAGTGCAATGACAGAAATCAATGACATGCAACCATTTAATCACCCACACACCGCAATGAAGCGAAGAAAATGCTGGCTTCGTAGTTAGCCTACTTCATGTTTGTTCCTGTAAAAGATAAATAATATTTTCCTTCCAGTACAGTCATACTTATTTCTTTCCTATCGAAAGCGATACTACAATCAATTGAAAAGTCCGTTAACTAGAGAATGTCTTCAGAAAAACGATTACGCGCTCAGCACAGTACTCCCAGTTTTATACTGTATTCTCAATTATCGTGGCGTATCTTGATTCGAAATTTGGGGTTCTGTACCGAACAATTTCAATCGAAAATTTCCATGTGCCCGACTTCACGCAAATATTAGTTTAGAAGTTGCAAATTTTTCAGGAATCCGCTAACTTCTAACCGCTTGATGTGAAAAAATACAACTTACAGAATTATCTCTATGCTCATCGGCACTTTATATGGGATTCACGTCTGCTTAGACAAGATAAAGGTGAATAAAATGAGGTGTATGCACTCCGGTCATCTTTTAAGCTGAAGAAGTAGGGCCTGCAAAAATCAGCGAGAATTAAACTTTTATATGAAAGTGAATTATTTTACTGAGAAGTATTACTTCACGTAACAAAGTCGGACCATGAGGGCTCCTCCATATACGTACAATATACAGTACAGTACAGTTCAGTAATAGGAAAGGGGCGCTGTGGGTCAAAATTTTGAAATCGATATTTCATATCGTTCACGCGTTTCGTCGAACACCAGAAGCGTAGCGAACATTTTATGATCACAATCGAACATTGAAATATTCAGTGAACGCCAGTGCAGATATGGGATGACAAAACATGAAAGCGTCGCGTGATGACTGGAGCAAGTCAGATTCTAACAGCTGAGAGCGCCTTGTATAAGTTCTAAATCCTGCTGAACCGAAGTCCCGGATTTCCGGAAGAGACTTCGTGATACATGCGGCTTCCGGTGACGAATCGTCTGCCCTCGTTTCCTGAGAACCATGCACAAGACTTTCTGTCGGGAAATCCAAAGATTGAATTCCTAAGACAGAGGATGCGCCATAGAAACACGGGTCCCACGGATGAAAACATTCATAATGCTCATTCCAGAGTAAGAACTCTCCAGGAAATCCTCGAAGGCTTTTCAAAGTGAATGGAGCCTGGGTTGCAAAGAGTGACAGGATTAATGGGATTTCTGTCGCCACGGAAGGGGTGCGAGAATCCCTCCTTTCTCCGGGCTCCTCGGAAAGCCTAATCCAACTATTTACTCGAACGGTTGTCGCCGGCGCGGAGATGACAATTAATTAGGAATGTATGGTGACCATTCTTTCGAAATTACAAGGTCGGATACGAAAGGATTATGCGCATGGAAATACTGTACTGAAGTAGAGGAGCTTTCTGGCGTTCCGCGGGTGCGAACACCGACAGGGTCCCCAACAGTGAAAAACGCGGAAGAGGGCGAGATTGACGCGCGCCGGGTCGTGTGGGGGCCGCGGGGTTGGCTGCATGCGGGGGGAAAACCATCCATTCGTCGCTAACAATCATTGTAAGGTTGCAACGTACAAATGCATATTTGGAGCAACAACCGTGCACACACCGCCGTTGCCGGGCCGGGATGGCGAGGCATTTAAACCTCGCCGCGACCGTTATGGAAAAAAGCCGGCGGAAGGCCCTGTACTGGTTCTTCCCATCTGGTGTCACGATGTGCCGAGGCGTTGAAATCTCTGCCGGTCCCGACTGGGGTTACTGTATTACGTATGTTCAAGCCGCTCGGTCCTTTTAAATGCGAGCATTGCTTCATTACGTGTCCGAGAGGAATCGAATCTGATTGAACTATTCCGTGAAAAGTCTCTCTCCATGATCTTCTTACACGCACTTAGCGCCTGAATGTCGCAAATTCTGAAGCCATTGGTATACAGTATTCGGTTTGATTTCTAGGCTTTTCAACATGAGCAATGAGCAGAAGCAAAGGTGAGGATTTCCCAGGATTACATTTTTTCACTAGTACTGTATTAAAAATTATAAATATCATACTGAGTTTCTGAACTACGATGAAACGGATTAATGAGCGTAGTTAAACAATAAGTAAAATCATTTTACTGTACTACAATACTGTATAAACACGCAGAACATTTCGAAGGGGTCTCTTTTAATCGTGCTCAATTTACTCAAAACGTATTGTCTACCTGTTCAAAAATAAAAAATAAATAATCAAAAATCGAGCCCACAGAGATAATTATCGAATCATTACACTTTGTTTTGACTTCTTTGCGGAGTAAATCTCACTCCCTTAGACTTGGAAGGCTCGCTGTGGACGGGGAAACGCGTTTTATGTTATTTTCGTGAATGAATCACTCACTTCGTCATATTTAATCACGTTTTGAAGTGAATCTACTCCCAAGGAAAATCTTGGAAGTTTGAAAAATATCAAGAGCACGTCTCCAACTATTATACCACAACTGCGCGTATTTCCTCAAGCATATATGGCAGAAATTCAAACCACAGTACTCGTACGCATAAAACTTTCCAAATTTTAAGCCTAAAAGTCGAGGAGTTGCTCCGCACTTGGAGTAATTTCGCCAAAGGTACTTACAATGGTCAATATATTAGCTAGCGAGCTAATATTTTAAAATTGAAACTTCCATTTGTTTTTCTCCTGGAATTTTTAAAATGTGGCCCGCGGAAATAAAATGCACGATTTTTACATTCAAAATATTTTTAATCTTGCAGGTTTAGGTTTGATCAATGCTCCCAAGGAAACATACCGCCTTCATTTGACTCAGAAATTTCAAAGAGCAGCCAGGATGCTAAGTTCTGTACCTTTAAAATTAAATTATTAATGGACACGCTAAATTGAGTTTGAAGTTCATTCAGTAGGTTGCGTTGGTCAGAGTAAATCATGTTCAAGTACAGTACTGTACTGTTCTTCATTAGTGAATATAGAACGTCATCGAAGTAAGAAACGCACTTTGGAGAAGAAATTGCGTCGGCCACATATGTCGGCATAAAAGTCACAACCGCTATACTGTATACTGTACTTCGGAAAAGTGTCTTCCAATAGGAGGCCGAAGAAATGCACTGGATTTCGAATCGTT